TCTTTGTTTATCTCAGCTCGACCGTTAAATCCCACGTACTCGAGGCCGGAGCCCTCATGAACCTACGAGTAAACACAAGTGTGCGGTTGAGGTAAACACCTGAGCTTGTGGTGTAAATATAGCAAATGGGGGCATTGTGCAGAGCGTAAACTTCCCGCATGCTCTGAATCGTTTTTGGCAATCGAGCCAATCCACGGAAACATCCTGCGATGGCTTAACGGGACTTTCTGAGGCCAAGATGTGCGGCGTGGAAGGGTAATAAAAGTCGGAAAGAAACATCCGAAATGAAGAGTGGCAGTTTTATCGTAACATACATCATCATTCAAAGGCAGCAGGATAAACACGTTTTCAGACTTGTTGAACAGCCTTCTCTCATGCACGTCTTATTATGTCGAACACTCTGACAACAAACAGATGCACAAGTGCTCTTGCACATGCATGCAATCAACAATTCTTCCGTTTTGTCTTTTTGTACAAAGATTTATAACCAAAATAAAAAAGCACCAGTACATATGGTGCTTATTTCTGCATCAGTTGCCTAATGTTCTTAAGTTCCCTCTTTGTTCCGAGCATCATTGTTCTAAAGACAAAGCGGGCCAGTGTCTGCACGCCGCAGCTTCGCAACAAAAACTGGAACACTGCCTTTATTGTTGTCGGCACCTCATCATTAAAAGTTCCTGACAGATAAAAGGTTGCAAACAGACGAAGGTGAGTCAGGGAAGAGAACGAATCAGTTTAGTTATTCTTCAACTTAAAATCTATCCTCAGTTATTTAATGTACAGTTTCCCTGACCCTTAAAGGAAAATCTGAGATTTATTTGTTTTCTTTTTTTATCATTTGTTGATTTCGGTACACTTTCATCTGTCTCAGCCACTCAGGTATCAAAACATTCAGCACATTTAGAACATTATGGCTATAAATTTAAATGTTTGTATTTACTCTATTTTCCGGCGTACACGTTGCACCGCCCTATAAGTCGCATCAGTCCATATTTGTCTTAAAAAAGTGAAAAAAATCCATAAATATGTTGCTTCGCCGTATCCGTCGCGTCTATTATGCATCACCGCTGACGACCCGGAAGTGTGGGCCGGTGTTGTGCCAAAAATCAATTGGCTGCAAAATGGCGGCCGCGGGAGCGTGCACAGGAGGATTTTAACAAAACTTTAACAAGATTAACACTTAAAAACAATTATTTGTTCGCTTCAAATTATAGTAAAGTTGTGTCTCAGTTTACCTTTTCCTTAATAGATGCATTTTGACGTCAAATCAACTGCATTTCAAAAGCCCATTCTTGGCTGGGGGAGCGTGCATGGGAGGACGCTGTGCATTTCTTCAAAATTCAACAAGATAAGCACTTAAAACAATTATTAGTTTTCTCGACATTACAGCAAAGGTGAGTCTCAGTTGAACTTTTACTTAATAAATGCACTTCAATGGTCAAATGAGCTGCATTTCGCCGGGGCGGTGCAGCAAAATGAAGCTGATTTGACGGTTGCTCGAGGCGAGCTGGACGAAGGTGGCGGACTAAGGCAAGCCAATTGTGTCATTAATAGCCACTTTTTACTTATTACATGACACAACAGCATGCCATACTGATAGAGTGTCATCTAGCGGCTGAAAATGGTAGTGCTCAATATTTTCAGTCAGTATGAATGAAAACGGTCATATCTCAGCCAAAAATTGGTTCATAAATATGGAAAAAACATAAATGCGTTGCTTCGGCGTATGAGTTGCAGGGCATGTAAATTACGCAAAAAAACGTGACTTAAAAAACGAAAAAATTGTTACTTTTTTTAATAGAAACACACAGAGATCTCAAATCTTTCTAATTATGTTTGCTCTTTGAATGTGTGCTTCATTTTTAGCTTTGACCTAATGTTTATGTAATTTTAGCTTTTGGCCAAAAGGATGGACTGCCCTCCCACGGTTGGGAGTGACGTTCTGCTTCACATGAAGTTCAAGTTTCCTTGGTTTTGTTCATGAGGGAACAATGGAGCTGACCGATGCATAGATGTTGCTTCCACATTATTGTGTATTTGTGCTGGTCCATTTTGGTGAAGGAGATGGGCTGCAAGGTAAAGCTCTCTGTTCACCGCTTGGTCAATAGTCCTATACGCTCACCTTTGGCCATGAAATCTGGGTAATGACAGAAAGAACAAGAATGTGAATACAAGCGGCCAAAATGAGTTTTCTCCACAAGGTAGCTGGACTCTCCCTTACAGATAGGGTGAGAAGTTAAGAAGTAATTTTCAGGGAGAGATTTAAAGTAGAGACACTGCTCCTCCACATCCAGTGGAGCCAGATGTGGTGGTTAAATCATCTGGTAAGGATGCTCGTAGATGCCTCCCTAAGGAGGTCTTCTGGGCATATCCAACTGGGAGGAGACCCCAAGGACACGCCATATCCTAGAAAGACTGTCTCAGGTGGCCTGAGAACCCTCCTGGAAGAGCTAGAAGATGTGGCTGCCTGGGGAAATAAATGTTTAAGCCTCCCTGCTTAAGCTGCTGCCCCCACAACCAGACTCCAGAACCAGAGGGAAATGATGGGTGGATGGATGGATGGATGGGTGGGTGGGTGGATGGATGGATGGATGGATGGATGGATGGATGGATGGATGGATGG